TAATTTATGTTTAACAACATAATTTTATAATTTATTTCTCTTATTTGCTATTATTTCTCATTTTTATAACACTCGCACTTGACAATTTTATATGTGAATATGCTCTGAATTTAACTTGAAGAAAATCAAATATCAGTTCCAAGAATATTATTTTTTAAATAATAATTGACTTGAAGATATACTTGAAAAACGCGCAAATATATATTTTAAAAATTTTGAAAGTAAATACTACTATGATATAAGAATACAGAATTTCATTGCGCATTATAACGGCAGCAATTAGTTGTTCTAAATTAAAACAATTAATTGAATGCTTTCCCCAATTTTTATATAGTCCGGAAAAAATATAAAATACTGTGATCCTCGGCTCAAGTTGCAAACTGCGATCGAATAGTTTACATTGTCGATGGAAGGTTTAATTTGTAGACGATGCAGACTTATGAAACTATCAGAACTGCCACTGCGTGTAGCATATATTATTGTTGTATAATGTTTTTACTCAAATGTATATCACTTTAGATAACGTTTATGGTAAACGTTTTATGAAACGGTTGTAATTGCGATTGATAATAGAACTGGAAGAGTACTTTTAGAAACTATTTCATGCAGGGTTTATCGTCAACAATTGTCTCAGTTGTGTTGTTCTGCTATATTGGTCGACATAGTTACATTATATAGCATCAGTGTATAGATACATAAATTCAAAAGTTTTCATGTAAATATTAAAATATTTATAATGAATTAATGCTTTTAATCGCAAAACATTTATTTATTTATTTAATTATACTTATACTTATTATTCTTTTTATATCTCTTTGTATACCGCAGATATAACGTTGTCTTTAAAAGTTCAAAAGTGACATACAACTTAAAAAATTAATATTAAATCTCAAACATCAAGTTTTACAAAAAAACAAAAAAACAATTTTTTAAATTTATTAGAAAATTATTAGCTTATAAAATAATTTTTCAAAACTAATATACTCCTGTAGGTATAATCGAATATCATATTTGTCCGCTTAAAAACTTATAAGAAAATTATCCTTTTTGGGTTGTGACAATTTTGATATCCCACAAAAATAACAAATTCGAAATATTTCTTTAAAAGTGAAATAACTTGAATTATCATACTACTAGTATATATTTATATTTACCTTGATCTGTTAAAATAATTAAAGTTAAAATAAAACAATTTTTTCTTCAAACTTCTATCATCAAAACTATCTTAATTCTAAATGTTCTCTGTAAAATGTTCTCTTTTTTTTTAAATGTTCTCTTTTACTTATAAGATTTTTTATTTACGTAAACGATACGACTCAAAATTTGTCACTCTTGTAGAAAATACTATGATTTTTAAAAATTTTAAAATAGATATAAGCGCTATTTGCCGGATGAATTGTGAAATTAAATCAGTTTACTTTGATGATTAATAAAATAATTTTTACCTAATTTATTCATGGTAATAATTTAAAAAATCACATTTTTGTGTTATGTCACTTTTGTAAAGGAACAATGTTATTTTATTTTAAAAAATTTCCAGCATTTATAAAATATTATACTTATAAAAGTTTTACATAATACTTATGCATATTATTATGTTTATACACTTTTAATCTTACATACGATTATTAATAATTATTAATAATTATTATAATAGGCCGACGCACAAGGAGCTATCAGCGCTTGTGTTATTCTATTTTTTTTTTCATGAACGATAAAAGTAATAGCTGTAATAATAGCACTGAATAGCGCTTTCGGTGTGTCTCTTAAACTGTCTAAACGTGCCTAATATTATTTTGGAAAAAAGCACAAAAAAATTGGAGTATATTATTTGTTACATAAAATATAAATCATGAAAATCAATTACACGTTACTACCGTTAAAAGCACATTATTTCTTTTTCTGGGGAGGTAAGCAAATTATGAAATATATTATATTATATAAAATATTTAAATTAAAATATTTATTTTATGTATTTTAGTCAAGAATATATTACATATAGACTGTATAATAAAATGTAATACAAATATTTTATATCGCATTTTATTATGTAAATATATTTCTCTTTTAAAACTTATGTCTTGATATAATAAAACATATAACACATAATTACATAAAAAGATACAGTAAAACTGCATATAATGAAGATCTCATCGATCATTTCAGTGACCATGACTTACGTTCTTACAACTATTCTCCTAAGTATAAAATATTTTAACATTCTTCATTATTTAGTAAAAGATTATTAACAATTAAAATTAATAACTTTTAAATATATCGAATAGTAATTATATTGTGTTTGTATACATTTTTGTCTTTCAACATTATAATTTAAGATTTAACTTTGTTTTTTTGTTCATATGGAATAATTTTACTTTATATTTACTTATTGTATGTATTTTATTTTTCATGCCATTAGACAGTAAAAATATATGGACCTGTTTAATTACATTTTAATTAATTATCATAAATAAACAGATTTGTATTTATTTATTACATTATATATTACTATTTCTCAAATTTTACCAATATTCCATAACACATTCTATTTTTGAAATCTCTTTATTTTTACTTTTTACTTTTTTGTTCATATTGAAGTAGAATGTAAATTTGAAGACTTTCATTAGATTATTGTAACAAGTTGAGTTAAAAGTTTTATATAAATTAAATGTATTAATATACATTTATATAGGAGCAATATAAATTTAAAAAAGAGTGGCTATTACTTGCTCTTATCCTGCATATGTGGGTATAAAGTTTCGCCCTTTCTATAAAGAGTTGTATCCGAAAAATAATATAAAAATAGTATAAAGAAAGGTAGTATAAAGATATAATATAAAACTTATTTATAATATTTAACTTATAAACTCAATTTTCCCAATTGACTACGTTGATATTAACTACGTTCCAACTGATTACGTTGCGATTTCTGATATGAAACGAAAATTGGGTTTAGCGGAAAAGGGACCAAAACGATAAATTTTTCTTTTTACACAATTAATCTAAATGACTTTCGAATGACCTTGACCTCGACCTTGAGTCTTAAGAATATAAGATTTATAAGTCTTAAGGTCATTGACCTTTTCCATTGCTCAAGATCAAGGTCACTCGGACCCTATTTGGGATTGACTGTGTAAAGGGAAAGGTTTATCTTTAAATTATTAAGTTAAACACATTTTTATATTGTCAACATTTTCTGTTAATAATTTTTAAGAAACAATGAGCGACAGCTAAAACCTTTTGATTGTTATTCAGCGCGACGATTTTGATAACATAGAGAGAGTCAAGATTATTAAAATCAGATCGCGTCATTATTACGCAGTTTTTGAAAAATATTTTAACCTTTATTACAATTTATTTTATAAAAGAATTACATAATATTATAAACTTTTGGCATATGTAAAATATACATAAATCATATTTAATAAGATTAATATACATTGTGATAAATAAAAAATATTAAAAATAAATTATTTCCAATTTCATAAATTATGTTATTGCATACATAAGTGTAATAATAATTTAATTTGTTCTTGTTTCAGCTACGGGCGCTATTTTTCCATTTCTATCTGTATATGGTAAACAACTCGGTATTTCACCATTAATAATGGGTAGCATCGGTGCTATTTTACCTATTTTATTTATGATTGCTAAACCAATTTTTGGCTTTATCATGGATTATTTTCAAACCCAGAAAAAATTGATCTTTATGGCTTTGCTCACCGTTTCAAGCAGTTGTTATATTTTAATATATTTTTTACCCTCATCACCGGGACTAATTGTATTAGATCAGTTTCAAAACGTTTCATGTGCATACTTACCATTTTGTGACATAGATTCTGTAAGTCTTTATTTTCTTATTATTGCCTATTTCTTTGATAAATTATAAGCAATAAAATTTCTATAATCTGTGCTATATTATTCAATCTACATACTTACTTTACAAATAACTTTAACCTGTGCTAAGTTATCCACATATTTACTTTACAAACTTTTTTTATGAGATAGTAATCTTGATAATGTATGTATTTCAAGATTACAATATATTTTATTTTTTTTCTACAGTTTTCTATAATTTTATGTTTACATATAATGTATTTTAAAAATATATTTTTCTTTAATAGTTTATTAATTTTGAATATTAATTTTTTAATAATTAATATACAATAATTATAATAATATGTAATAATTATTAGTAATTATATCACTAATTGTAATAAGCATCTTTTTATCTGTTTATATAAAAGAGATCTTATTTATTATATTTGTTTAAGAATTTCTCAACAACATTATGTGAAGGTACGAGAAACATTACATGTCACTGGATATGCAAGGATGCAAATCTTTCCGTACCATTATCTTTTCAGTATGCAGCTGGAAAGGAAGTAATTATTTCACCAAACACTAGTTGTTTAATAAATATTAATGATACATTATTGTGTCAAAAAGAATTCAAAGATAATTATAATTGCAATGTTATCTGTGATAATTTTGAAAATAATCATTGTTTGTATACATCCATTACATTCTGGGGATTCGTCCTTTTAATGTCTCTTGGGAGTATAGGTACTTCTGTTTCTTTCACTTTGACCAGCGCAATCTGTTTCGAGATATTAGGTAAATAATTTTTTATAGTTATTATCTCTTTTTACATCTATCTATTAATATAAATATAAAACGGATAAATTAAATATCGTATAGAAAAAAAATGCGATAAGTGTGCGCATACTTATATATGCGTGTGCATGCACTATGTGCGTGTGCATGCACTATGTGCGTGTATGTGCGTACGTGTGCGTGTGTGTATATGTGCACGCGCGCGTGTGTGTAGATTGTTCTACAATAAATTTGTTTATTTTTTTTTTAAAGGTAAAGGTGAGGAAATGAAATATGGTAGACAGCATGTATGGGGTGACATCGGTCTCGGTTTGGCAGGATTTTTAACTGGATATACAATCGATGTATGGTCTCAAGGAAAGATTTACAAAACTTATACATCAGCGTTTCTCCTTGTGTTTGTATTTACTTGTATAGATTTGATTTGCTGCAAAAAACTGAAGGTGATTTTATGATGCATTAAGAAAAATGAATAAAAGAGAAAATTAGGGTTAGAAATAGTAGTTTAATTTTTATACTTTTATATATTTTTATTACAGTTGCCACTTGTATCAAGATCGTCAAATATATTTACAGATGTATATACGCTTTTAAAATTCAAATCTACTATTATATTTTTGTTTTTTGATATCATTTGCGGCGCCTTTGATGGTTACATGCTTTCCTTTATGTTTTGGTAAATTTATGCCATTATCGGGATATTTTTGTTTTTGAAATTGTTATTTAAAATTTGGACACAAAAAACTTAAGCAATAAGATGTAAGTAATAAGCAAAAAATATTTTGAATTTGTTACATTATGGTGTTACATTATTGTCTTATGTTTTCTGTTTTGAATAATTGATTCGTTCATAGCTTACATCTTACTGTCTTATTGTTTTACATTTTTTTTGTGTACTATAGTATATTTTAAGTTTTATGATGTTTAATTATTAAATTTTCTTAGGTATGAAGAAGATCTTGCTATAAAAACCGGTTACATGGACAAAATTAAATTAATAGAAGGTATAACAATAGCCACAGAAGCTTTCAGTTGTGCGATATTCATGCATTTATCCGGTACTGTATTAAATACTACTTTATTATGATTTATTATAAATGGGGCGATTAAATAGTTAAAAATTTAAATTTTTCGGCAATACTCGAATTAAGAGACAGTCGCGCCGATGACTGTGACCTTGATATGTTGTCTAAGTCATGATCCTAGTAATTTTGCCTCAATAACTAGGTAGTTCTATGATATTTAAAGTTAAAATGTCATTATAATAATAAATCTTCATCTTTTTTTTACGAAATAGACTTCGATGATCTCGACCTTGATATGTTGTCATGATCATGACTTGAGTAACATTCAGAGTTTCACGCTCTCTTGCCTGGGGAGGTGGAGTATACCATATCTCTAAAAAGATTTGATTTTTCATGCAAAGCGTAGTCCACCCCACACTTCCCCCTTGCTTAGATGCGTACGACTTTCTATAAGAAGCGAGGTCCACTCCCCAGTAAGCAGGGAAGAAATTGTATTTATTATTTTATGTAGCATAAATGAAACGTTATTTTTTAAACTTTTTATGTTAATAGTTTTTTAAACTTTTTAACGATCAATGCTCTCCATCTTTTAAAAAGCACTAAAGGTGATGATCTTGATAATATATGTCGAGGTCAAAATTATTGACATGATGTCTCTTAATCCATATAATTACCATTTCTTCTTTTTAGGTAAAATATTGGAAAAATTAGGATATGGTTATACTTTTACTCTTTTTCTCGTATTTTATTCTCTACGGCTGGGATTAATATCTATAGCACCAACACCATGGTGGATAATTCCAATAGAATCTTTAACAATAGGACCATCATATATACTTTGCCACGTAACATCAGTAGCGTACGCAAATGTAATATCGTCATCTAATGTATCTGTTTCTATTCAAGGAATTATATCAGGAATGAAAGATGGTTTCGGTAAATTTCTTTATCTAATTTTACATTGAAAATTGAATTATAATGAATAAATATAAATAATATTAATAACATAAATAATATAAATGGATTTACTCTTAATTAAAGCTTATTATTGATTCAAAAAGATTATAATAATGTTACAATATTTTTAGGTCGCTCTATTGGTAGTTTGGTTGGGAGTATATTATTGAAAAAATTTGGTGGTGCATTAACTCTACAAATATTTTCAATATTTGCAGCATTTTGTTCGCTAGTGTATCTTTTATTTTACCTTATATACTTAAAACATGAAATACCAGGCAAGAAATTCACTAGTCTAATTTATTAAAATTAAATATTTTTTTTAGATTATTGTTAAAAAATAATATTAGGTGTTGGAATTAATTCGTAGCGTTTTACAAGTGATGGGAAGTACTTTCATTAATGTATTTTTTAATGCTCATGTGAAATAAATAACATTCTTTCATTAAAAACGCTACGAATTAATTCCAACACCTAATAGATTTTTTAAATTGTAGGTACACAAAATAATATTGGATGGAAAAAACCTGACGATGCACGAAAACATTGTGTTGTAGCAGAATGATAATACGAGATGTGTTTTTTATATATTATTTTTTATTATTTAAGTAGATATCGTCTATAAAAATATATCAGTAATAGTATTTAATTTTATTATATTTCATTTCAATATGAAACATCACAATATAATGAGAAACACATATTGTTACCCGTATATGTGCTAAACTTGTAAAATATTTAACTTTAAATTATTAAACTTTATTTTTAAAGTATGAACATTTATTTATAAAAAGTACATGACACTTTTCTAATTAATGAATAAATGCACATGTATAAAGTTATATTAAGTATTTATACTTAATAAAGTTTATTTAGAACATTAGAACGTACATCTGCATGATTTATTTTATTTAAAATAATAACTTTTTAATGAACAATGCGTCGCATAAAACTCTTTGGCTGTTACTTACAATCATGATGTTGACGTATGACAAAGAGCTTGATCTCTTAATCATTTGTAAAAATTATATTTAGTTCTTTATTTGAAATTTAATATAAACAAATCTCTTTGAATTACGTTGAATTTTCATTAAAAAAATATAATTTTGTACATGGAAAACTAATTAAGAGAATGATATCAATAATGATAAGAAAAAACAATTTACTAATCGTTTTGTCGATATTGTAATAAATAATTTTAAAACGCGCAATTTATTTACGATAATTTCATCTATAAATTTTATTATAAATATCGTAGAAGTTAATAAAGACTAAATTATAATAATTTGGAGAAAAACAATTAATATAATTTGGAGAATAAAAAATATAATTTATAATTCTTATACTGTTAAACTAATTGGAACTACATAGTTTTAAAATTTTTTTTTTAATTTTTTGCTAAGTTCAACATTGGAAATTGATTTAAATTTCAAAGAAAAAGTATTTCTGAATATTAAAAAAGATAAAGGATATTTTCAATATTTACAAGAATACAGTAAAAATTTTTAGAGAATGTAGCATTTTCTTATCTGAACCTTAAAGATTCGAACTGAATTAGCAAGAATAAACTAATTATAAACATTTGCAATCTAGCGTAGTAAGATCTCTTTTAATTACCACAATAAGATGGAGTATATTAGTTCAGATATATTTGGTTATTTCGTTTATTTCTTTATTTTAATTTAACTTTTTAAAATTTAGTCTATGTTTATAGGAATTGCTCATACAAAAAATCATAATTTTAAAAGTAAAAAAGATATTAAGTCTATAATTTCAGATGATGTAATCTTTTATGACAGCTTCATCCACATATTTATATTATTAAATGATATAAAATACTATTAAAATGTTGCAATATGCAAAAACATGATCAACATTTGCCGCAGGCAGATGTCCTGATGCTCTGATAGGTTTAGTAATGAACCCTTTGGTGGACTTGTTAGTGCGATGCCAGTCTCATGCAGAGTCTTAAAGAAACGTAAGATTTATCGACCTGAAAGGCTCTTCGACATTTGTCAGATCGACCAGATGAGAGCTAAACGTTTCTGACTATTGGACAAGAATCGAAAAAACCTTACGTTTCTATCTATGGGTGGTCATGCAGAAAATACTATGATTTCTTTATTCTCTAAAACAAGACATTCCTTTAATTTAAAATTTCAATTTAATTTATTCGAAATGTTAGGAGAAAAATGGTTTACGTAAGACAAAATTATTTTACAAATAAATAAAAAACATTCTTACATACATAAAAATATTCTTATATATTAGATTTTAGATACATATATTAGATATTTATGAAATTTCTTTAAGTTTACTATCTCACAATCTTATAATTAAATATTTAGAATGTTCCTCCGTTATAAATATGGCAATTATCTTTAGTTGCATACCTCGCGGGAAATTGCTAGGCATGCAACTAACGGGATAATTGTCCGCTAATCGCAATTGGAATAAAAATCAAATGCATGTATTGTACTATTGTGATGACAAGTTGTAAGTACTTTTGCCGGAAGGCTTCCGTATTTTACGTCGTAACAATATACCGTTATTGTAAAATACAGACCGGATCTTGGACAAAATCAATGCGAGTAATTTTCCAAATAATACAGGTCTTGCGATCTATTAATCCTTCGTGATCTAATGCATTAGTCATGTGATTCGGAAGGGCTGATATTATCTTTTGAAATGAAAATTGTGCATTCCGCCACCCGCAAAAGGTTTAGTCAATTTTCTCGTATACCAATGACGCAATGGCGTAATTTATTTGTCACCTGGAGCAATGCTTGGTAGAATAAAATAAAGTATAAATGTAGAAGTGAAAGCTTATAGCGCTTACAGCATTAAATTAAGAAAAAAATATATTAGTTCCTCTTAGAAGCTATTACTGATTTACATATGTATATTAAAATGTTATAGTTGTTCTGCGTGCTACTGCAACTTCTATCAGTAATTTCATTTTGATAAGATGCAAGATAATATTCTTCTTAGAAAGGAAAATATTTCGAATCTATTTAATATGAAAGAAGTACAGTTTCAAGGAGCATGCCTTTCATTAATTAGCGATCACGATAATATCAAAGCGCGTAAATTTAGGACAACCACGGAAAGTAGCTACGCATGATAAGCGAGCCCAAAAATGCTTGTTAGAGAGATTAGTGTCGTTTCAACGCGAGCTAGATCGCGACATAAAATCACGATTAAAAGCGTTTACCACGGCGGATTAAGAGCGACGCACGGTCCGACCGTTACCTCGTTAAAAGCGCGGAATTATGCACGCTGGAATTATACGTAAATCTGTCCGTGATAGCCACCTTTAAATATCGGCGCTGGTGGCACCCGACTACATAATTCACCGGGCAAGTCGTAGTAAGTTCCTGAACCCGAATCTTTATGAGGGACTCGCGAATTAATAATAGATGCGTGTGGCAAGAAGCAGTAGGGTAAGGAAAAGATGGGGTAAAGTAAGGGATTAATTTATGCAATTCACGATCGCGCGTTTTACTTTAGTATTATTCTAATATCAATTGATTTATTTTACTTTACTCGCGCCTATTAGCGTTCAATTGTAATAATTCTTAAATTATCTTTTTGTATTATTCGAATAATGATTTAATTTCATTAATTGTTGTTTATTTTTTGATTTATTTAAAGGCTTTCTTTTAATAGATTTATTTATTTTCTGCAAGAATTGTGAATAATAATAGAAAAACGTATTTTAAACTTATATTTTGGAATGTTAATTTACATTAATGCTTACTTATTTTAGATTTTTTGGGCGATCGTAGAATTCTTTTTAATAATAATGCAAAATATATCTAATGCAAGATTAATTTTTCCAGGAAGAGCTGTAAGCAGTTTTGTATTAGGTACTATAACACATACGACGCTTAGTTACGTTAATTTTATAGATAATCTTTTTATTTTAATTATAAAACGAGCGATTTATCTTAATTGAAAGTAATAGTTATTTGAAATTCCTGAAAAAGGATAAAAATGTCAGCAAATTTACGTTTTCTAAATTGTCTGATTAAGATTAGAATGAAAGAGGATTTCTCGTTTCATTGATGGAATCATAAGTGTATCCCCCATGAATGATGATAGGAGAACAGGTCCGGTAGCGGTATTTAAAAAGCTAGAAGGGGACGGACTATAGCGATAACACGTTAACCACAGTGTACCGTCACATTAGCGATAACGTGAAATTACCACGAGGCATAATTCCCATGAATCGCAGGGCCTCAAGAAATACTCGCTGGCTTTATTGAAAGGTTTTTCACGACAAGAATCCGCTGCTCTGGATTCTTGTCATGAAAAAAAATTATTTTTGTGTGATTGGATTGTGAAAAGAATTCTTTCGCGATATTCTGTAAAGTGCCATAGCAAATATAACATTATATTTGCAATGTGTAATCGAAGAGTGCCATTAGAAATGTCCACGATGTTTATGACATTTTCACGCGATAGAGACTTGCATTACCGAGACCTTATTCTGCCACGATCAATGATCGAAATGAAGATGTATCACCATCGCGCGAGTCGAGGCTTTGTACGAATATATATGTACGTATAAATATGATTGAGATCTCAATTACGCGCTTTTCTCGTTATGTAATATTTATTGAATGTTAGTTATGCATAATTTTATAATATACGTATCTGCCCTAATAACGCACGCGCTTGCAAGATATTTAATGTTAGCTCACAAGTGCCGTAAGTTTAGTGAATCAAAAATACTTATTGGCACGAAAGTAAAAATCCGTATTTATAGTTTAGATAAGAAATGTTAATTGTAGCTAAACTTATATATTGTATGCTTTCTGTAATTTATATCAGTACATTAGTAAAATATTTTTACACTAAAGTTATCATGCAGCTGGATTATTCATATCATAGCCTTTAGCAATGTCTGTATTACAACACCATCTAATGTATGAACTTTTTAACTGTAAATATAGGTGCAGCTAGGAGCGAAGATTGAGAACTTTGTGCTAATAGCAAATAAAATTTTAAGAAAAACTTGATTAAGATTTCTCACCGTTGATTTATGACATCATTATACTACGTTGATTTTACAGAGAAATAAATTCGAGCAATATCAGAGTCGTGAAGTGTTCATTTCCATCTTATGGTATTTAAAAAGCAATTTAACACGATCTATTGATTGTAATTGCGTAATTGCGAAATTTTTGCGCAGTTAAGCCGACCATAATAATTCGCGTAAAAATTTCGCTCTTCTCACCAATTACGTAACAGAATGCACGGACATGCAGCTCAGCGCCTAATATTAAACCGTTGCTCATTGCGCGGCGGTGTGAAGCGGATTTTGCCGATAAGTTATGAATGTACTAGATGCCATTAGCGTGAATGAATTGCGCGTTTATTTCCGCGCGTTAATAAATAACAGTTTCCTCGGGTGTCTTGCAAAAATTAGAGCAATCACGTGGCGGTCTTCATATATTTCTCCAACTAATTCCATAATACGAGATCGAAGAGATTTTATTGTCTGGGGTAGACAAGACGGTGATCTTAATGTTTTACGGTAATTAGCTATAATAATGGAGTAGAAAGTACAATTTTAGGTATGAAATACGTGATTGCTGCTTAAAATAATGATTTT